TTCCTTGTACGGGCTCCCTGATACCAGGAGATATTTTCTGTGCAAGGTGAGCATTCTAGTTACTAAATGATCACAGTGAAGAAAAGGCAAGTATTGACCAGAAAGAGCTCACTGATTTCTTCATTCCACAGAAGCAATGCAGACGTTTGAAGGTTACAATCTGCTTGTTCTATAAATAAGAACAGCTTTAGAAATTTTCTTTTAACCTCCTTCTTATGTACTTGCCTTCCAGTTTATGCTATAAGATACTAAAGAGTTAAATCTTTGGAATCAAGACAGATCTAGATTCATATCCTTGATCTCCTACTTAATAGCAATGGGAACTTGGGAAAATGTCAAGCTATTTAAATATCAAATCCTTTATCTATAAAATGGGGTTCAGTTAGCTTTAGTCTCCCACAAAGCAGAACCTGAGTCAAGGACTTGGATGCAGATAGTTTATTGGGAAAGACAAGGAAAGAGGAAAGGTTAATACTATGTGGGGCTCCTTATTCTGGACAACTGAGCCCCAAACCTGCCAGAGACCCTCTGAGAAATTATATAAAATACACTCCAGAATTACCTAGTGAAGGGTGGGCCCCTGAGACATTTGTCCCTCATGGGCTGAGGATTGCCCCAGGGGCACTAATTTTCCCTGAAAAAGAGTGAGCTTGGACAGAAGACTCCACTGCAGCTGTGGCTGAAATCAGAAGTAGATCACCAGATGTGACCCGAGGCACAGAAAGCACCTGCTGCAGGAGATAAGAACTGTCCATGTTATAGAGTTATTGTGAGAGTTAACTGAAATAATATCTATAAAATGTTCAGTACCGCGCCTGCCACACAGTTAAGTACTTAATAAGTGTTCACTTTACTGTTGCTGCTGCTGTTATCATTATCATCATGATTATTATCATTGCACTTTCTTGAGTGAGAGACAGGGGTAGATCTGTGGAATGATAAATAACCCGCAGACCGCCTCTTTTATGCCATACCCTATATAATTTACCATGATCTCTGGCCAATTGTGATTATTATGGATTATTATAGTACTTTTATTTTCTCTGTGTGTGTACATGTTGTTGTCGTTGAAATTTGGGCACAAGGAGAAGGCATATTTTATCAGTTGTATGGGGTGGGAGAAAGGGTGCTAATCAACGCCCTGGTGCAGGACTATCCGATAGAACTTCCTGCAGTGATGGGAATGGTTTCTATCTCTGTCCAATACAGTGGCCACTAGTTCTATGTGGCTAATGGGCATTTGAAGTATGGCTAGTGTGGCTGAGCAACTGTTTTTAATTTTATTCAACTCTACTTAATTTATATTTAACGTTAAAGAGCCACACCACACAGAGACACAGTGGTGGACAATTAGAGATAGTGTTCTCAGTGGATAGTGGAAAAGACCCTCCCCTGGGGCTAACATTAAGGCAATGTGGCCAGTGGTGTGTTTCATCCAGACCCTGGCCCATAGGGGCCCACCAAATCTCACTTCCATGCTGGAGAGTAGTGCTATTTCTGAGGCCAAGGAACTGCTGGCTAAAGAGAATGAGGTTGTAGGATACAAAGCTGGCACTGGCCGGGGGAGGGGAGGCCACAAGCTCCCTGCAGCATGGTCCATCTTTCTGTGCAGTCGACTGCTGACCATTGTGCGGGAGACAGCTTCATTCTTAGCTTCTTTTGGCAAGCTCGCAAAACCAGCTATTACTAGTTATGCCTCTGCCTTGTCCCATTTTTCTGTAGGTGTTTGTCCTGTGCTTGATCCACCAACCATCTCTGCCAAGTACTTACTGTGATCATAAGTGCTGTGCTAGGGATCGAGGAAGACTTAGAGAGGCCTGTCCAACTGGTGACCTCTACTCCCTAGAAGATGATAGTGAGAGACAACATTCTCATGTAAATGAGCCATTAATTTCAACGTCACCTTCTCTGGTTGGTAATCTACCTCTGCCCTCCTCCCCTCAGCTTTCTGTGTCCTAGAGCTTCTCACTGTAACTAGTAATTGACAATTTACCTGTCTCTTTACTCTACTTAAGCACAAGCTCTAAGAAGGCAGGGATTCCAAACTCAGCCAAATACCAAACTGTTTGTGGCCAATGACAAGAGCAACAGGAGTTGAGAAAAGAAAGAGATAAGTATTCCCTAAAGTCACTCATAGACAACATGGAATTCAGAGTAGGCCTTGGAAAATGAGCAAGATTTATTTACTTGAGGAGTTGAGTAATGGCATTCCAGAGCATTTACATCATAAGCAAAGACATGGAAGTAGGATTGTAAATGTTATATTCACAAGAGGCAAAATGAATCAGAGGAGAATTTAGAAAACAAGGTAGGACTAGTAGGGTGCACTTCGACAGCCAGGCAGCAGAGTGTGGATCTGATAGGTTGATAAGAGCACCACGGGCCAGAGCACTCTGGGTTTCTGAGTGTGAAACATGAGGTTACATCAGTGACTCTGGCAAGATGTGGTTGGCGCCAGTTGTTTTTTGCCTTTAACTTTCAGTCTCTCCACCTCTAGGGAGAGACAAGTTTACTTCAGTTTCCTTAGCACCATAGTTCTGCCCACATGGCACAAGGAGCTTACCTCCATGCCCAAGTTCAGGAATGGATGGGCATGTGAACCAGATCCAGCCAATAAGAGCCTTAGGAAGTGTTTCACAGATACAGCCAGAGACTTTTGCTGGAGCCGTTATCTTTATTCTCTGATTGCTAAGTTAGTGAGATGTAAATCTGGAGCCACTGACACTATCCTGATGCTACAGGGGAAGAGTCTGTCTGAGAATCAAACCAGCACAGAGGAAAGCAGAACCAAGACCAAGAGGAGAGAGAGAGAGAGAGAGGAGAGAGGAGGTGCCTGATGACATTATCTGAGCACCTGGATCCAGCTGAGCCTGAAACAGCACCTATTTCAGTAATTAACCACTTTCGGTTAGGTTCCTGCCACCTGGCAACCAAATGAGTCCTGATTAATGAATACAAAGGGGTAAGAGGAATGGCTTAGAGTGAGAGGGGATGAGAGTCAGAGTGGCCACACCAGATATGAGGCATCGAGCATCTGAACCAGGGGCTATGGAGGTAAAGTGGAAAGGAAGTGAGTCAAGAGGTGAGCAGGAACCATCTAGTCTTCCCTTCTTTTTCAAAGTTATACAGCAGTGTCTATTGATTCTTTATCACCTCTTCCTTCAGGATGCCCCTTGACTTGCTCTCTTTCATTTGGTTTTGACAATTTAATGAGGCAAGTGAATCAGGTGTTCTCATCCCCATTTTATAGCGCAGAGAGGTTAAAAGACTTGCCCAAGGTCACATGGGAACTCTAGGGCTTGGTTCTGATTCTCTAGATGGTTCCGATTCATGCTACATGGGCTCTTGCTTGCTTGCATCTAGTATGGACTGAAGTTACCAGGCACAGTCTTTCTGTCACCTTAGAGTGGAGATGCACCCCGACTCCCAGGCTTTTCTTATTATGGGCATAGAGAAACAGTAGGAGTTCTTACTGAGGAAAGGCCTGGGAGCCCATGACCCCCTTCATTAAAAATAAATTCTGCCTGAGTCTCCTGGTTCTAAATAGAAGAAAATGTAAATTTGGGGCAGAACCGGAGGGACAGGGATTTCCCTTGGCAAATTATTTGCAATTTGTGGATTGGAGCTGACCCAGCTCCAATTCCCATGTCATTGTGAGCGCTAAAATGTGACCAGCTTATTAAAGAACCAGAGCTGGAGGCAATCCTCTCAGGGGGCTCAACAGAACAGGAGCAGAGCTAAAACCCACCTTCCTCCTCGGTGTCTCATGTCCAGGACCTGCCTAGATTCTCAGCCACGGTTTACATGTTCACGCGCAGGCAACCACTTCCTGTGCAGTAGGAATTAGAACAAGCATATTTACGATTGCTTTGTGGCTTTCCATAGGCATCATGAAAATCTACCTCTCAGGTACAGTTGGCCCTTGAAAAACACGAGTTTGAACTGAGCAGGTCCAACTTATATGTGGGTTTAAAAAAATACATACAGTACTGTAAATGTATTTTCTCTTCCTAATGATTTTAATAACATTTTTTCTTTAGCTTACTTTATTGTAAGAATACAGTATATAATACATATAACCTAAAAAATATGTTAATTGACTGTTCACATTATCCGTAAGGCTTCCAATTAACAGTAAGCTATTAGTAGTTAAGTTTTTGGGGAGTCAAAAGCTATATACGGATTTTTGCCTGCATGGGAGAGGGTTGGCACCACTAACCCCTTCATTGTTCAAGGGTTAATTATTCTTAAATGAGTACTCAGACTATAGCATGCAGTGAGTGCCACTGCCAGAAATTCTGGGTTAGTGCAGGGCCTGGCGTCTGCCTTTTCAATATGTATCCCAGGTGATTCTGAAGCAGGTGGTCCAGGGACCACAGTCTAAGAAATAGTGATGTAAATGGACAAATGTATGAACTCCAGTGGCCCTTTCATCAGTGGTTTAAAGATGCTATGGGCACCGGCACAGGTCCGAGGAGATGCAGCATTTTCATTAACAGGGTTTATTCCTCACTGGCATAATCTGAAGGACATACAGAAGCTTTTCATGACTAAGAATATCTCCAAGGAGCTTCTGAATCTAGAGTTCTAAGTATTTATCTTCTCTGGTATCCCTTTTAAATCATGAAAACGTTATGTGGAACAGCACTTTCTGTGTTCTATTTATTTATTTTGGGGAAAAATCACTGTGTGGCCTACCCATGGCATGTTAGAGTGTAGATGCAGCTCATCTGTCTTCGTGGTCCAGCCTGCCAGAGCCCTGGACTCTATCCCATCATCTTCTTCTGTGCCCAAGCTCTGTACCTGAGACGTAAAAAGACTTTTAAAGAGCCTTGTATGAGTTTTTCCTTTCTTGGAGCACCACTATTAACAAAGCCTTAGAGAAAGTCAATGGATTTCTAGTTCTGCATCCATCTTGTTACGTGTTATCACCCTTCTCAAATTAACCCGCTGGCGAGGTGGGCCATAGGCCTTCACAATGAAATTGACTGCATATGAAATGAGTCTGAAAATTCCATTTATTAAAACAAATACATGGTCCATGTGGGATGAAAATGTGCACATCGCATTCAGGTTTTCTGCTTTAACATTTCTGTACTTCCCTCTCTTTGAAAGACACACTCCATAGATCTTATATAGGAAAAACATCAACAATTTGGGGGCTGGGAAAACATTAATGTATATGTAACAATTCACCATTGCCAAGAGCAGCTAGAAGCAAGGAAAAAAAAAGTACAAAAATTTTCTAAGACAGCATGCTCAATTTCTCAAAATTCCATTTGTGAGTGTATGAAGAAATGGTTTAAAATTTTTTCTTGGTAAGCAATCTCTTTCAAATATTATTAGCAAAATTTGCCTCAGATCAAAGTACTTATTTGCAACCTCTGATTTAAAAAAAATAGTATTTGGTTTAAAATTGAAAAAAAAAACAGTTAATATTGAAAATGATGCGAGATTTTTTTCTAAATATAATGGTTATTGTTACTGTTTAATTCTATGGTGATTTCATTACTATCCAGTATATTATACACAGAAATTAGGGCCTTGAATAACTAAACTAAGTTTCCTATTAAGTTGCCCCTTAAGATAAAATTATGCTGGTGAAAATGATTGTTGAATTTCTAAAAGAATTAAAGCTCTTGAGAAGCATAAGTAATCAAAAAAGTTTTTTTTCCCCCCTTAATAAGTAAAAATATCAATAAACCAAAACTCATGTAAAGATTCTGGTATTGTAATTCCATACTATAGGACAAAAAATTATGCAAAAGCCAAAAAACATTTTCTTTAATTTCAGAAGGGCTCTGTATTTACTGCCTTCTCTCTCCTTTTATAAACAAGGTTACATTAAGTTTGGAACTTCCTTAGCTTTTAATTACCAGAGCTGTTTTATGGTGCTTCTTAAAATTTTAATTCCATTTTCATTGCTCCTAAGATCTAGATTTACGTTAAAATATAGAGTTCTTCTGAGAAAAACAAATGGCGTGAATTATGAGAATCATCTGGGTCTTATAAAGACACCTTAATTACCACCAAAGACTGCTTATGCACAGTTATTTTTATGTGACCACATATTCAATTCATATTTTGGCTCATTTAAAAAATGAACAGGGTTTTTAGCTCATTCCACAGTATTACTAAGCTAATGGTATAATCTGTAGTTTAATAAATACTCTCCTAGAGTTTTCCCTCTGTAAATCCTGATTATTGTCCCACTGACTGTAACGAAATCCCCAGGTTTAAATAGAACAGAAGTATCTGGTTATAGAAGTGAATTCATAGATTTCACAAATATTTCAGTATTCTCTTCCCTCTGCCCCAGGTGTGAGCTTTAATTGGATTCATTTATTCTTTTACCAGCATGCCCATAAGAGATAAGGAAAGTATTTACCAAATGTGTTTCAAAATCTGTCCTTGGGATATTAAGACTTTTTATCATCTTTTCCTCTTTCTTCATCCTTTCTTAAAAAAAAAAAAAAAGCAGGAGGAAAGAAAGATAGGAGAATAAAATTAATTTGGAAATGGTCTTTGGGATTTCAAAGTAAACAAGATCTAAGAGAGGCCCTCTTTTGCCTAAGCATGGCACAGAAAAAAAATGATAAAGGCTTCCAGGGCCTCTCATTACTGATAGAGGCTAGAGCTGCAATAAAAAATCACTTCCAATATCATCTCTTGGGAAGAGAGGGCTCCAGCTGCAAGAAAGCTGTAAATTAAGACTGAGAGATTCTAACAAACAAGATGGAGAACAGAAACAAAGAAAAGATTCTATTGAAAAAAACGGATGACACATAAAGACCATCTCAGTTGAAAAGAGCCAGGACCCCACCTGCTCTCTTCTCCTGGCCGGCAAATAGCTGGGATTCTGAGAATGGGTCTTCTCTGGCATTATGGGTTTTCTTCTCCCTGATACTTGAACAAATGAGGGCCATGTTTTAAGAAGAGCACAGAAAGCATTCTTTCAATCTAGAATTTCTGTGATTTAGAGAAAAAAGGAATTTGTTCTAACTCTATGACTAAAGCACCTCCCAGCTCATGGTGAATCCTTACCACTCCTGCTTGGTGGTACCTGCGATGCCCTGGATCCTGGATAAAACCCAAATGCTTCGGATTCTGGAAAACATGTTGAAGAGGTTTTTAATACCACTGATAACTAGGAGGTATTTTAGGCTTGGCTAAGGCTCTGAAGTAATCTCAATTTTCAAGATACTGAGTTTTTTCCTTCCCTGCTTCTTTTTTCTCTCTCATTCTTTTCCGAAACTTTATATAGTAGAACAATAAAACTTCTGAATGGATGTAACATAGGGACATTTTCATGCAATATTACTCAAAAATTGTCACAAATATATGAAAGCACCAGTCACAACACATGATTTACTTTTACTTGCAGAATCAAAGCTATCATGTACAAATATTAGGAATAGTGATAAGAGAACACAGACAAACAGCATTTTTGTTTGCTTGTTATTACCATGAGGATAAACCACGGGGGACATCTCTCTAAACATTTTGAGTGCTCATCCTTGGAGTTCAGTCTCACAGACAAGTCCAGCCTTATCTCTGTACTACTCTAATAGGGAGGGGTAGGAGGAGGGTAAGAGAGAAATAAAAATGAAAACAAAGGCACAAAGACTAGACATCAATGCCATTAAACCGAACCGAGGTTACATTGGACAACTCAGCTGATCAAAGGGTATTTCTAAAGGCGATAGTCATTCCGAGAAGTTCATACATATCTTAGCTCAGTACAGCTGTCTGAATTTTATTTTTTAAATACGAAGCAGAAACAAAGTTTGGGGAGGGAGAGCAGAAAAGAAATGACACCGATTTTATCTTTACATAGTCCCCTCCTCCAGGCAGTTCTGCAGATATCAGATTTCTTAACTCAGGCTGTGGATCGGCTTTCATTCTCATAAAGGGGACCAGTTCTTTAAACATGCATAGCCTGGAGTTTCCAGGATGGTTCTCCTCCCTCTCTTTAAATGCTGTGGACTAGAAAGGCGCCCACTTTGCTAAAAACTCTACATCAGTGTCCCAGGAGCCCCGAGGCTCTTCAGGCTCCTCGTGAAGACTTAAAGGATGGCACAGAAAAACTTCTTCTCTCTAAATGGGTTCTCTGAAGCCGGAACAGGGGTCAGCAGGGGATCTTCCTTGGCGTGAGCTTCACAGTAGGCCATCAAGTCCGCAGCTGCCTTGGATACCTGGAAAAAAAGACAATAACCACTGAAACTTTAGACGACACATGAATTCAGGCACAGTCAATTAAAGCTCAGGCTGTGGTGTCCAACTGCCCTCAAGATTTCAGGTTCAAATCCTAACTCCACCATTTACTAGCTCGAGTTAAAGTGAAGCAAGATACTCAACCTCCATAAGCCTCTGTTTCCTCATCTGCAAAGAAAGGAGTTGATGATCGTGACATCACAGGATTGTTGCAAGTGGGTCCAGGACTAGGGTTAAGGGAGTAAGGCACTTAGGGCACAAAACTGAAAGAGACGCTCACAGTCAGGGTCACGTAAGTTTCAACTCTGCATCTGTACAGCCCTGAGAGTGGGTTATCCAATTTATTGGCATATAATTATTCATAATATTCTCTCATGATCTTTTTTGTGTGGTATCAGTTGCAATGTCTTCTTTCATTTTTGATTTTACTTGAGTCTTCTTTTTTATTAATCTAGCTAAAAGTTTGTTAATTTTATCTTTTAAAAAAATAGCTCTTAGTTTCACTGATCTTTTCTACTGTTTTTCTGGTCTCCCTTCCATTTATTTCTACTCTGATCTTTGTTTTTTTCCTTCCTTTTGCTAATTTTGTACTTAGTCTGTCCTTTTATAAAGTTTCTTAAGGTATAAAGTTAGGTTATTTTAGATTTTTTTTTTTCTTAATGTAGGCATTTATCACTGGTTTTGCTGCATCGCAGAAATTTCAGTATGTTGTATTTCCTTTTTTTTTTTTTTTGGTTTGTTTCAAGATATTTTTTGATTTCCCTTTTTATTTCTTCTTGATCCACTGGCTGGTTATTCAGGAGTATGTTGTTTAATTTCCATATACTTGTGAATTTTCAAGTTTTCCTCCTGTTATTGATTTCTAGTTTCATACCACTGTGATTGGAAAAGATTCTTGGTATGATTTCAGTCTTCTGAAATTTGCTAAGACTTGTTTTATGACCTGTCATGTCACGTATCCTGGAAAGTGTTCCGTGTGTACTTGAGAAGAATGTGTATTTTGCTGCTGTTGGATTAAATGTTCTGTATGTGTTTGTTAGGTTCATTTGATTTAAAGTATGGTTAAGTTCAATGTTTCCTCATTGATTTTTCTGCCTGGATGATCTACCTATAGTTGAAAGTGGAGTATTGAAGTTCCCTACTATTATTGTATTGTTATGTATTTCTCCTTTCAGGTCTGTTAATATTTGCTTAATATATTTAGGTGCTCTGATATTGGGTGCATAGATATTTATGATTGTTATGCCCTCTTGAAGAATTGACCATTTTATCATTATGAAATGACCTTTCTTTGTCTCTTGTTATAGTTTTTGGCATAAAGTCTCACTCTTTAATAGGCATTACGCTGCTTATAAAAATATTTTTATTGTATTCCCATTTTGTTCCAGACATTGACTTAAGTTTTCTCTTTTGATCTATACAATAATCTTGATGTAGAAACTGTTATTCTCCTTTTATAGATAAAAATTAAAGCTCAGTACATTGTACAAATTGTTCAATGTCATATAGCAAAGCACGCAGCAGAAAAAGAACTCGAACCCCAATGTTTTGCCATTAAGCCACAGCCATCTACATACAAATTACTCAAATGCAGGGCTAGTTCCAAAGGTTGATTAAAATTCTTTGTGCATCTTTATAAAATGCTACTATGACAGAATGAAAGGAAACAGCCTGTTCTTGTCTTAGCTTCTCTAAATGAAAGCCAAGGACAGACTTTGAGAATGTTGATTACTTTTTTTGGTGCCTTTTACTAGTTTGAGTCATAATCATTATTATATCAAATAGGAACTTAGCCGTAAGCAGCAATAATATCTAAAACTCACTTATTAAGAAGAAATCCAACACCACTGTTTTTCATTTGCAATGTTCACAAACATGTGGCAGAAATTTTCAAAATCTTTTTATAAAACAGATAGTGCTATCCTGGGCAAAATTAATAGCTTAGAATTGGTCATATCTTATATTTGAACACTTGATTCTGAATGATTTCCTTCTCAAAATATGTTATGTGTTTTATCTTGCTTCCTCAATTAGATTGCAATCTCCTGTGGACAATAGTCCAAAATAATGTCAGAATCCTAGCAGTAATTAGAATAATTGCTAATATTTATCTGCCCTTTCTATGTGTCAGAACTGTGATAGCCGCTTTACACACAGTATCTTATCTAATCCTTACAACAACATCATGGGTCACAAGCTATTATTATCCTTATCTTTAATATGTGAAGTTGAGGCTTTATTAGGTGTTTATCCTAGGTCTCACAGCTCCTGATTGGCCAAGTCATGTGTCCCAGTGTGCCCGACTTAATCTTTATGAATGCTCTTCCTTTCTAATCCATAGCTGTCATCCCCATACCTTTCCTTACAATTAGTCACAGCAATAGTGTACCTGGCAAATCTTGCTTTCTGACTATTCCTGCTAACCATCCTGTACACAGCTTCTTTTACATTTTATATTGCCAGACCTAATTCTTTTCTAAAGATTTCCCCAACAACTCTAGGTAATCTCTCCCATTTCTGTCCTGTCGATTCTTCTTCTAAAGATATCTCAAATTTGTCCTCTATTGTCATCTCTATTACTACTACGTCAGTTCGAACCTCTACCATCTTTCTTCATTATTACTGAAATAACCTCTTAAGTTAAAATTCGCAAGGGATCGGTTATAGAGTGATTGTTTGTGTCTCCCCCAAATCATATGTTGAAATACTAATCACCAGTGTGATGGTATTTGGAGATAGAGCCTTTGGGACATGATTGGGTCATGAAGACAGAGCCCCCATAAATTAGATTAGCACCCTAATAAAAGGGTCCCCAAAGAGCTCCCTTGTCCCTTCCACCATGCGAGGAATGAAAACATAGCCTTCTATAACCAGGGAGCAGACCCTCATCAGATACCAAATCTGGCGGCACCTTGGACGCAGCTTCCAGAACTGAGAAATACATTTCTATTATCTATAAGCCACATAGTCCTTGGCACTCTGTGATGGCAGCTTAAACAGACTGAGACAAGGCCCATGGGTAGAATTCAAGGAGTGGTCTGTGAACTTCAATTGTAAAAAAATTACATCTTTATTTTCACTAACCTCAAATGAGAATTTCTTTCCATTATAGATATAGACAACACATCAACACAGTATAGTAGCATTAGCAGCTTTTTATATAAGAAGTTAATAAAGGAGTACACATATAACAATATCACGAATATTTTTCTAAAAATTATTATGATGAACTGTATTTCAATATAATTTGTTTCCTTTGTAATTTAAAAGGAAACAAATTACGCACTACAGTTAGAAAAATATTTTTAAAATATAAATTAGTTCGTATCACTCCCTTATTTAAAACTTTCAATAGCTTTCCATTGTACTTTGTAGAAAACTGAAACATCCTAAAACAGCCTGTGGTTCTGCCTGCTTCAGGCCTGCCTATTTCTCCAATTTCATGTTGTGGCACTCTTCCCTCCCCACACAAGAGGTCCTCTAATTTTGCGACATCTCCAAGCCTCAGAGCTTCACATATAAAATTCCCTGGAACATATCCCCATTGCCTCGACAGCCCAGCTCTTTCTCTCCCTTTAGGAGTCAGATGAAGTTCTGCCTCTTTGTCAAGTTTTTACTGACTGCTTCATCCAATAATGACTTTCCTCATCATTCTCTTTCAGAGCACCACCTTCTCTTCCTCACAGAAAAATATTTTTCACAATACATAATTATGACCATTGTTTGTTTATTTGCTGTTTGATATATCTGTCTTTCCCTCTAAGTACTCTATGAAAGCAGGAACCATATCTGCTGTATCCACCACTGTGTAATCAGTGCCCAGCACAGAGTAAATACTCAAATAATTGCTGAAGGAGTTTTCAAACATAATCTTATTCAACAAATATTCCATGAAAATAATATTTACTGAGTACCTAATATGCTAGGCACAGTTCTGGAGGTTTGGAATAATTAGGGAACAAAAGTCACAAAGATTGCTGTCCTTGTGGAACTTATATAGTATTGTAGACTTCCAGTTCTGACTATGATGGAGTCACAGGGATCAATTAAACCTTCTTGCTGTAAGTTAAAAATTGGACAAAATATACGAAAAAAATGTTTTTAAAATGTTACACAACATGCAGCATAGGACAGTGATCCCCGAGAGAATGGAGACAAGCCTAATGACTGCTCTAGCTTACTGCATGAAAATGGTTTCTGGGCCAAAGAACAGGTAGTGAATAAGTAAACAGAGTTCAGGAATGTCCCTGAATTGAGGTTAAAAGAGAGAGAGAAGGAGAGAGACAGGCAGACAGATAGACAGACAGAGAAACAGAGAGAGAGAGAGGCAGGGAGAGTGAGAGCACATGTACATGCTCATGAAGCCTCCAGAGGATTCCCTCAAGACTTGAGCTGAAAACTGAGAAAAACGTGTGGCAGAGACTGTGCAAAGAATTTCAGAAAGGATCAAGTGAAACAATCCCTGATGAGCACACAAGGCCAGAATAATTTGTGTCTCTATTGGCCAGAGTAGAAAAACCTCATAACTGAGGTTTGAGTAGAGTCCTGAGAAAGGCACTGCTTCTGTAGAGGTGCCGAATAGGCCTAGCTTAAAGGCTGCTGTGGACTCACCTGTCAAGTTTAAAAGAGCAAGCCTTGAATAGATCAAAATGTTTCCAAGTAACTTAATTTCATCCCAGAACAAAATTAAAATATTTAATAGAATACAATATTTAAAGGAATACAGGAAAATTCCAGCATGCTAAAAGATAAAATTCATGTCTACAATTTTTTTTAAAAAAACCAGGCATGAAATAAATAGAAAAAAAAAATCTCCCCATAATGAGAAAAATTAATCCAAAGAAAAAGACCCAGAGTTGACATACATGATAAAATTAGTAGATAAGGATAATGTTAAAATAGCTATTGTAAATATTGTCCATATAATAAAAAAGGAAATATAATAGAGGAAAAGAAACATGATAAAAAAAAGACATGGAAG